GGGAGAGAGAGTGGCAGTGGGGTCAGTGGGCTCTCAAATGAGTTGACGCAGGTGGTTGCCAAGGAGTAAGTGATTGGTTGGTCTGCGGTGCCGCCGGGTGAAGGCTGGCGAGCGCATCGTAATAGCTGGAAGGGGTAGCGGGATGGACAGGGGGAGCGGGAGCGCCAGGGTAGCAGCGCGGCCAAGAAAGAAGGGGTAGCAGCGGTGGAGGCAGGATCAAGGAAGGATTGCTGGTGTCGCCCCCGCCCCCTAGCCTTTGGGGGCTGTGATGCCGCGCGTCCAGAGTGCAAGGGTCGCCGCGATAGCTTGCACCGCGTAGTGCAGAGCTGTGTTGCGACATCCCCATTCTACATGCAGGCGCGCTGAGGTGGTGCGCGCATTCGATTCTAGAGCTGGTTGTGGGGGTGCCCAGAAGCGCGTTCCAAACGTCGCGGACACGGTGCGGGGTAGTGCTGATGTATGAGAGCGGCGCTCTCTGCGTGGCAATCCGCAGGCAGGTCAAAGTCCGATGCGAAAGGAAGGGTACGCGAACAGGCGATGTGCAAACATAATTTTAAATTCTCGCTCTTGAGCCGGATTCGCTCATGAGGCCAGTGCACGTGTATGGGCATTGGCGCAGAAAAGAAAGTCAGACGTGGCAGCCGAGTGGGAACCCGTCCAACAATAATAGAGTGGCCCTGATCGAGGGGGCTAGCAACATCACAACTAAACCAGCATCACAGTTCTTGTGCGGTGTACGTAGCGGACTGAGCTGGACACGCTGGGGCGAGAGGCTCGAAAACGCAATGCGCCCGCAATGTGTGCTAGCAGCTGGGGTGTCATGCCGTCTACGCTGCCGAACTCATTGGCCACGCGGCTGGGGCGCCTGGGCCCCCCCAGGCCGCGCGTGTAGGAGTGGTGTGGGTGTACGGTGAAGACCCATGCCAAGAAACGCTCTGCTTGCCTCCAGGGTGCCCTGGCTTTCTTTGGTTTCGATGCTTTTGCGATGAAGAGCGCTACGTTCCCACGCTAAGAATCACTCGGCGTTCTGGGGTCTCAGGGTTGGGTTTCTTGTGGAAGGTTTCTTGTGGACTGGCCTCCACTGTATGATGGTCGATGGACGCGCCGAATAAGTGCGCGCGACTCCTGGCCCGATTCAACTGGGCCGTGCTGGACTCACGTGGAGGAGTGGCCAAGCCGATCGATCAGTCGTTGCGGCGTGGGAACTGTTGACCGATTGGCAAGGGATTGGTGGTCACAGGGTAGCAAGAGAAAGGGGCAGGGGCAGCTTGGATGGGAAGCGCGCAGCAGGGATGGAGGATGGCGCGCTGCAGCGAGACGGGGGGGGGCCGAGCAGGGGAGAGAGTCTGGCGATGGACGGGGGTGGCGATCGCGCGCCATCAGGGGGAGCGGGATGAGCAAGGAGGCGATCGGATGATGCGGAAACCGCAGGACACCGCGAGGAAACCGCGGAGGAACGCGGCGCGAGAGGCGGGAAACAGCGGCGAGACAAGAGAGAGCGACGGCCCGCGGAGAGGCGAGGGCTCCGGGTCCAGAGATGCGTGGCATGGGGGCCGGAAGGTCCAGTGGTCGGTGCCGCCGGGTGTGGGCAGGGGCGCCCGCCGAGGCCCTGCTCGCCCAACAGTTGGCGGGGGTAGCCGGCTGAGCTGGAAGGGAGCAGAGCAACCGGGGCAGCGAGATGGTCGAGGAGGGCGGGGCAGCGGCGGTGGAGGCAGGACGCAAGAAGGGACTGCTGGTGTCGCCCCAGCTCCCTAACCGTGTGGGGCCCACGTGAGGGTGCTCATCGAGAGTGCAGGTGCCATTCTCTTGCCAGCGCCCCGTGCGCCCCTCGCAAGAGTCAGACCCCATGGGCTGCGGGAAGCCTTGGGCGCGTGGGGGGGCGGAGGTGGAGGCGGAGGCGGAGGAGGAGGAGGAGGAGGAGGAGGAGGAGGAGGAGGAGGAGGAGGAGGAGGAGGAGGAGGAGGCGGAGGCGGAGGGGGAAGAGAAGGAGGAGTAGGAGGAGGAGGAGGAAGAGGATGATGAGGAGGAGGAAACGGAGAAGGAGGAAACGGAGGAGGACGATAACGAGGACGCTGGCGTCCGTCTTGGGGTCTTCTGAATGCCCTCTTGGGGGCGTATTGGGGCTTTGTCGCAGCCGTCGTCGGTTTCTGTTGGAGCTATTTGGGGAGTTTTCGGAGTCCGCTGCTTGCTCTCTCGGCGTGTTGTGGTGCTCTGTTGGAGCCTTTTTGGGGGCCCCTTCGGGAGCCTTAGAGGGCCTCTTGGAGCCATTTTGGGGGGGACGTTGGTAACAGAGCGGGGGGCTACCGAATTCTCCGTTCAAAAATCATCAGAAGCGTCAGTTGGGGCCTTTGGGGGGGGTCCTCTTGGGCGGTGTTGGGACCGTCCTGGGGGCCTCTTAGGCCTCTCCTGGGTCTCTGCGTGGCCATCTCGAGGCCGCCTTGGGGTTTCAAAACCGAGTCGGGGGCGAAAGGGGCGAGACAAAAACATATTATTGATTCTGACCTTTCTGGGAAGGCCTGATGGTGGTCCCGGGAGGAGTTGCAACCGTCTTGTGGTCGGTTTGGGGCCTCTAGGAGGCATATTGTTGAACCAGATTGGGGGCCATCTTGGAGCATCGGGACTTCTTCTTGGAACCGATTGGGCGACACATGACCCTTTGACACATCGCGACCCCCGACAAACAACACAATCGCAGCAAGGCGGGGAGGGTATTCGTCCCCGACGGCAGAGAGATCTCGGAAATGACGGAACAATCTCGTTAGACCTGCGACGCGCCCCTGCTGCTCAGTGGCGCTCCCAGACGTGAACTCGCTTCGCGCTCAACTGTCGGTCTATCTTCCGCCGCGGCCAATGCCTTATTCAGTTTTTCCTGCGTCGGCGTTGAATGCCCGACCGCCCCGCCTTGGTCTCTGCAGCCTGGTGGGGCCGCGCCAAAAAGAGCGCCGCCGTCGCGCATGCCGACCCCGACGAGAAAGACTCAGGAATGCCCATCGGCCGCAGAAGGGCGACAAAACACGACTCGGCCATGATGCCGACGCCACTGCTAGACTCCAGTTGTCGAGCGCGAGGGAGGTGGGGGATCTGGTGAGCCTCAGCTGTACGCGGCGCACCGTCGACGCTAAACATGGGCATCGCGCACATCATGTTCGAACCAGGAGAGGCATGCGAGGCGGAGGGGCAACACATTGAGAGCCCAGGTGGGCAAGGGGAAAGTAATCGACTGGCGGAATCGCAGCGCCTACGTATTTCCCGCGCGCGCTCACGGTGGCACCCCCGTGTGCCGCGATGGGGGGCGCGCCGATGGAGGGCGGAAAAGCGAAAAAGCGAATGCCACCCCGAAGGAACACGTGGAGCAGATGCACGGCATCTTGGAGGCGGATTCAAAACAGCGACAGTCGATGGCATTTCTGTTTTCGCCGCATATTGTTGGGTGGAAGTGCATAAGGAGTGTGGCAGATCAGGAGGCAACCTTTCTGACCAGTTTCAACCAGGAGCACATCCTGATGAATGCGTTCTGCCCTGCGCCGCGAGGGTGGTCGAAGCCGAGGGCGGGTCGAGGCTGGTCGGCGCGGCGCCGAAGGGGCCCCTGGTGCGCGAACTCTCGCGCATATTCGGAAGAGACGCGTAGACAGGTGCAACCGCAGTGAGTTTTTGGTTTTGCTCGCGTCTCAGGGCCGCATCTGCGCCGTTGCAGTGGGGCGGGCTGCCAGCAGCCGTGCCGTCGCTTGCAGCAGCCACTTCCTGCCTGCGGGGCCAGGGGCGTAGCTCTACCCTTTCGCGGGCGACGCGTCAGCAGGAATGTAGAAGGCGAGGTCGCAAGGGCCCTCTTGGGCCGTCATGGGAGCCTCTTGGGCCGTCTTGGCGGGCTTGGGCCCCCTTGGAGCCTCCTGTGGCCCTTTCGGGGCTCCAGTGGGAGTCTTTTGGGACCCTCGGGGGCCTCTCTTGGGCCGTCTTGGGGCTCTCTTGGGCCGTCTTGACGCCCACTTGGGCCGTCTTGACGCCCACTTGGGCCGTCTTGGGGTGGGTGGGGGTGGGGGGGGTGCGGTGCGGTCGGCGGGAGGGGGCGCGAGTTGCTGCAAGTCTCTCAGCTCTGTGACGGGGTTTGATGGCCCCTGCTGGGGGGGCCCGCGTGTTTCGGTGGGTTGCCTGGGCTCGATGCCGGTGCCGCGCGCGTGGTGCGCGGTGGGCCATCTGTCTCGATCGCGTTGATTTTGTAGCGAGGTTTCCCGCAGTCCAAAATTTACTGATGTGCAGCCTGTTCGACGGAGCTGCGCGTTGCCGTTTATCGAGTCGGAACCATTGGTCTTGATGCTATCTTTTCAAGAGGAAGAAAACGGTTAGAGTGGAAACGGATGGAGAGAGGGGATATGGTGGACATGGGGGGGAGGGGGGGATGAGCGGGGGGGAGGAGGAGGAAAAGCAGGAGGAGGAGGAGGAGGAGGAGGGTGAACACGATGAACGGGCAAAGTGGGAATGAAGGAGCACTTATCATTTTGACAAAGGTGTTGCGCAGATATGACGATAATGATGAGGATTGTAGTAAAGTTTGGGATGATGATGCTGTTGATGGTGGTGCTGTTGCTATTGCAGGGGATGGCCAACGTGGCAGATGTGTTGGCGGTGGCGTTCTTTTGGTGAGTTGATGATGGTGATGCAGATGAGGACGATGGTGGTGACGGCGGTGGTGGTGAGGATGGGATGATGATGGTGACTATCATGATGGTGGTGGACAGGGGGATGATGACGATGGTGGTGGTGATGTTTTGGGGTTCCGAAGACGAACGTGTTTATGTTGATAGTGTTGAAGATAATGGGGGGGGATGATGAACGGCAAACAAGAGGTGGAGGGTGAGCAGGAGGGGGGTGGGGCAAGGGGTCACGGGCAAACAATGTGAGGGTGAATGGGGTAGGAAAAAGAAGAAACGGACGATGAGGAGGAGGATGAGGAGAAGCCCAAGGGCGGATGGGGAGGGGGCGCCGATGCTTCTCCCTCGGCCGAGGTTGCCGCAACATTCAGCTTGCAGCACGGGTTCCTCCCCGACGAGGTGCCCTCGATCGTCAAGTTCGTGCGGTGCGTGTTGGGGGCGAGGGGGTGGGGGGGGGGCGTCGCTGGCCCTTCCTCGCTTCGGGGGGGGGGGGCGGAACAGCAGAGGGGGCGGGGAGGAGGAGGAAGGACAAGGACCAGAGTAAACTCGGGGAAGCGTAAGACTCGAGTAGGCCGTGACTCGGATTTGCCGACGTTTTTTGACGAGCGCGTTTTTGGTTTTGACGGTCCAGTTTTCGTGGGATGTTTGCAGCGGGAGTTCGCGTCAAATTTCAGATTGGGTTTCGGCATTTTTATGATGGCCCCGTCAGGCCAACCCGAATCCCGTGTACCCGAGTCTTACGTCTCCCCGATAAACCCAACATGTTTCAACGATGGTGCAACGTATCCTCCGACCCCAGGCCCTGTTTTCAGTAGCCCTTCTCGCTGTGGGAAGCGCCTGTCCTGAGAGACGGGCGCCCAGTGAGGCCGTAGTTCAGGCAGGGTCCGCGTGTGGAAGGCAGCCGCCCCGCAAAAGTCGAGCGGCAGGCGTGCGACAAGCTGCTCTTCGCAGCCTAGGGGAACGGACCTTCCCTGCATCCGTGTAGCTGTTGCACAGTCCAAGTTCTGATCATAAAGCTGGACGAGCTCTCATGCAATAACGCCGTTTTGAAAATCAGCGTCTTCACCTGCGTGACAGTTGCTCACCTTTTCAAGGAGTAGTAATCTCCAGCCAGGAAATCTCAGGCGACGAAATCCGTTCTGAAAACATACGGGCCTCCCATTGCTGTAGCTGTCTGGGACTTGTAAGACGATTACGCGTGTCGCTGGTGGGACAACTGTATTTTGAAAACTACTGGCCATTCATCCGCGCACCTGTCAGAAGTTTTTAAGACGAGCGTACATGCGACAACCACGTTTTGACCCCCCCATCCGTGAAACAGTCTGACAGTTGAAGCTCTGGCATTGTAGATGATGTGGATTCATCAAGCGAAGCGCCCGACCCAGCCTATGGGCGAGTCTAACGGTACGACATCGATACTCAGGTTCCAAAGAGGAGAAGCTGAGGCTTACGAGGACGAGGAAGAGGAGTGGCAGTAGTTGGACCGCCAGAAGGAAGAGCAGTAAGTTACACCCAGGGTAAAGCGATGCACCCTGCCGTCCCATACACGCCTCTTTGTTCAAGACGCTTGCGCCATTCCGCCGATCCCCCAGGAGAGATATGCGGCTTCCCATGTCTCTCCGTCGTGCTGTCGGGGCGTGTAGTTACTGATGGTTCGCTCTCGTCTTCCTCCGCGTCTGCTGCGTGGCTTCTTGCAGGTCTCTTCGAGGCCTGCGGGGGCGGCCTCAAGCCCTCCCACGGCTCCTGGGGGCCCTGGGAGGTCCCCTGGCGGCCTCTTGGGGGCCTCTTTGGGGCATGCTTTGGGTTTGTCCGCGGGTCAGAGAACGGGGTCGTCTGTAGGAATGGCCCCAGAAGTGGCAGGGAAAGCGATTCAAACGGAAATCAGTTTTCGTTTTGGTTTGAAGGTTTTTGGGGTCAATTTGTTGTTTTGAATTATGTTTGGGTTAAGCTGTGGCTCCAGATTCTTAGCTGTTGGTGTGCACTTGAAAGTGTCGTTTGTTCTTCTCTACTGCATATACGTCGGTCTTCGGGGTGGGCTGTCCGATGGGTTAGGCGCGGCTGCCGGCTTCGACCAGTGCCCCTGGGCGTCGGTGTTCGGCCTTGGCTTTGCAGCTGTGTCTTGCGATGCAAGTTGGTCTTTGGCCTCGGTGTTAGTCTTCGGCCTCGGTCTTGCGACGCCGTCCGTCTGCGACCTCGGCCCACATGGTAGAACAACGAAGATCGACTTCAGATTTGCGACGGGGGGCGGTCTTGATTTCCTGAGTTCTGCGTGCACCATCGCTCGCCGACAGCGCGCTTCCCCTTGGGTCCCGCGACGCGTGGCTCGTTCTATGGCCCGCGGCGCCAACGGCCTCGTTGTCGCGGAGCACGCGAACGCGCGCTCGTCTGCGCGAGTTTTGCGTCGCACCGCGCAGCGCGAAGCGCGCGAACGCACGAGCGCACATCTTTAACAGCGAGGCTTCGATGTCACGCGCTGTTTGCGCGGGGACTCGCGTTGCACAGCCGAAGGAAGTGGGCGAGTCTTCTGAAAAGAGCACCGCGTGCGCGTCGCCGAGAGCGTGTCGCATTGCGCCCAGCTGCCAAAAGCAAGCCCCTCCACCGCGCCAGTCCAGCACTTTGGGCGGCGACTGTTCGAGCGATGGAAGCGACGATGGTGGCGACGAGGACGGCGACCATAATGCGAAGGAGACAAATATTAGGCTGTCACACGTGCGCACCCCCAATGAATTTCCTGAAGAGCCCTCATGGAGTTCACCTGGGCCGTATCAGGGCAGTCTTGGGTTCCTGTGGGGCCGTCTTGTGGGCCCCTTGCGGCTTTCCTGGGTTGCTCTGGGCTCCGCGTGAGCCGTCTTGGGTCTCTTGCGGCCTTCGTCGGGGCGTCGCGGGGGCGCCTGGGTCCGTCGGGGGTCGAGAGGCCTTCCCGGGCCGTCTTGGATCCCTTCGGCTGTCTTCGCAGGTTGTCTTGGGGCTCTCTTGGGGCCGTCCTGTGCCGCATTCTGGAGGTTTCTCGGCGCATTGTCGCGGCGTCTTGGGCCGTCTCAGGGCAACGTGGGGGGCTTCGTTGGCCCTCTCGGGCTGATTGAAGCCGGAAGCGATTATGTCCCCAAATCAATGAAACGCCGCATCAAAATCAGCGAGTGCCGTGCCTAGGGTCTTTCGGGGTCCTTTTGGGGCCCTCCTGGGCCGTCCTGGGACGCATTGGGGGCTTATCTGAACCATCTTGGTTCCGTGCTGGGCCTCCGTGGTGCCGCGTTGATTTGTCTCGGAGCCATCTTTGTCCGTCCAAGAAAGAAACTGAGGCCATCTTGGCGGCCGATTGCCACCCGGGGCCGTTTTGGGAGACTTGGAGAGCCTCAGGGAGTCAACGCGGTCGCCCGGGAACCATCGGGGGAAGGGGATGCGCGCGGGAAAGCGCGCGGCGGGGCGGGCGAGCCCCCTCAGCGAATGGAGAAACCCTACCAGACAGCACTTGGCATTCGCACGCTCCACTATCGCGGCGGCGCGGGGCCGCCTGGCGCGCGCGAGCGAGATTGAGGCGGCCCCTGCGCCGCCGCGCGCGCGACGGCTAGAAGGGCGCTCGCGTTGGATTTCCCGCGCGCGCGACGGCCAGGCACCTCCGTGCGCGGAAAACGCAGCGCGAGCGGCCTTCCGTCGGACGTGCCTCTGAGGCCGCTGGTGTCTCCCAGCGCGTCGTGGCCGAGTCTCGCCCGCCATTCGCCTTCGCGGCCCCGTGTAAGGGAGGCGGTTGCGCGGTCAACCTGGGGCGGTCAACTGGCTTATGGGCGGCCGATCCAGGTCGGTCCGCGCGCGGTTAGGCGGGCAACTCGGGCGGTCAATTCTGGAGTCCAACGCGCGGCCGGGCGGTCAACGCGCGGCTGGGCGGTCAACCTGGGCGGTCAATTCGGTAGGTTACGGCGCGGCGGGGCGGTCAACGCGCGGCTGGGCGGTCAACCCGGGCGGTCAACTCGGTTGGTCAACGCGCGGCGGGGCGGTCAACGCGCGGTTGGGCGGTCAATCTGGCCGATCAACTCATCAAAGCGCGCGTCGGCCGATCAACTCGGCCGATCAATTTGGCCGACCAACTGGGCCGATCAGCTCGTCAACGCGCGCGCGCGGTCAACTCGGCCGATCAATTTGGCCGATCAGCTGGGCCGATCATCTCGGCCGATGAACTCGGCCCACCAACTCGGCCGATCAACTCGGCCCATCAACTCGGCCCATCAACTCGGCCGACCAATTTGGCCGATCAACTCGGCCGATCAACTTGGCCGTTCGACTCGGCCGATCACTTCGGCCGGTCAACTCGCCTGGTCCCTTTGGTCGGTACTTTCGGGCGGCCAGCTCGGGGGGGTCAACTCGGGCCGTCAATTCGGGCGCGGGTGCCTGCGCGCGCCGCGGGTGCCTGGGCGCCTCCGCCCACGCGCGCCGCCAGCGCTTGGGCGCGCTCACCCGCGCTCGCGGTGGGCGGCCAAACGGTTTCATTCAGAGCTTCCCAGGCCAATGAGTTTCGCGTGGCCCGGAGTTTTTTGGGCCCGTTTGGTTTCGGGCGATCCAGTATCGCCCAAGCTATCGAAGCTTCGGTCGACCCAGAGCCTCCCAGACCCTTGCGCTTCGATCGATCCAGGGCCTACTAGACCCTTGCGCTGGGACCCTCTGGTGGTTGGATTTCATTCAAATCGCTTGGCTGGCGCCGAAACACAAGGCGCCCTTCGATAATCCTTCGCAGAATAAGCCGCTCGCGCACTTCGCGAGATAGGAGCGCAGCGCAGCGCGCGTCGCCCAAATCGCATGGCTGACGCCAAGACAGGGGAAGCCCTGGCAATCGAAGTTCGCAACAGCCGTTCGGCTGACGCCGAGGCAACCGCTCGGCCAACGCCTCCACGCCGCCGCGCGCGCGGCAGCGCTGAGCCGACGTGCGTGGAGGCATGCAACGGGAGCGGCCTCTGCGCCGGCGGTTTCTGCGACGCCGCGTGGTTTCTGCGACGCCGCGCGAGGGGGCGCCGCGCCGTCGTGCGCAGAGGAACGCAACGGAGGCGGCCCTTGCGCCGCCGCGCGCGCGGCGGCGCTGGGCCGTCGCGCGTGGGCAAATTGTGACGAGGCCAGCTTCTGCGCCGTCGCTCGCGCGGCGTCGCTGGGCCGTCAAGTGTGACATGCGGCGGGGGGGGGGGTCTCTACGTCGCCGCGCACGCGCGGCGGCGCTGGGCCGTCGCGCGCGGAAGACGCGCCGCCGCCGGCCCCTGCGCCGCCGCGCGCGCGGCGACGCTGGGCCGTCGTGCGCGGAGAAGCGCATCGCGAGCGGCCATTGCGCCGCCGCGCGCGCGGCGGCCGCCTGCGTGCGCGAGGTGACGCAATGGAGGCGGCCCCTGCTCCGCCGCGCGCGCGGCGGCGCTGGGCCGCCGCGCTCAGAAAAAATGCGACGAGACCAGCTCCGGCGCTTCCGTGCGCGCGGCGGCGCTGGGCCGTCGCGCATGGAGAGGCGAAATGGAGGCGGCTTCTGCGCCGCCGCGAGCGCGGCGGGCTGGGGCCATCGCGATCAGAAAACGCAGCGCGAGCCGTTCCCGCGCCGCCGTGCGTGCGGCGGCGCTTGGCCGTCGTGCGCGGAGAATTTTGATGGTGGCGACCTTTGCGCCGCCGCGCGCGCGGCGGCGCTGAGCTGCTTGCGTAAGAATGCGATGGAGGCGGCCCCTGCGCCGCCGCGCGCGCGGAGGCGCCGGGTCGCCCCCCGCGGGAAACGCAGGCGTTGGGCCGTTGCGCGTGGAAAAATGCAACGGGGGCAGCCTCTGCGCCGCCGCGCGCGCGGCAGGATTCGGCCGCTTTGCGCAGAGACGTCGACGTCAGGTTGTCTTCTCAGTTAGCGCGCTACGGCCGCGGGGTTTGCACCGCTGGCGCCCGACAACGTTTCGCGGAAACGCGGGCCTGTTGTAGGCTGCCTTGTCTGGTCGTAAACGCGGCTGTTCTCGACGGGCGCGGGTTTGCCCAATGGCCAGTGTGTTAGCGCAGGTCCGTTTGAGTGCGCCATATCATTAGATGCGGCATTTTTGTTATTCGCGTGCCCTCTACGCTAGTTTACACATCGATTTCGGCCTTTTGCCCAGACGTGTTAGGCTGCCGTTTGCAATGAAACCCTGGGAGACGACTTCGAATTTGAAGTTCTAGATGGAAGCCATTCTGGGCCCTCGGTGCAACGGAAATCTGGACCGGACATTTCGCGCACCAAGAGCACGTTGACGCGAAAATGTGCGAACCAAGAGCCACGGCAACGAGCGACTAAGACGGCCCTGCCGACGCCCCTGCGGGCTCTCCTACAGACCTGACCTCCCAGACATTCCCAAGGCATGCTGGTTGTCTCGGGGGACATCCTGTGGGGGTGGGCTTCTGGGGCCCCTGTGAGCTTCCCCTCTTGGGCCGCTTTGGGGCCTGCTGGAGTACCTTTCTGGCAGTCATGGGTACCTCTTGGGCCATCTCAGGACCCCTCTGGAGCCGTCTCTCGGCCTCTTGTTTGGTGGCTTCTTGAGCAGACCTTGGGCTGGCCTCTCAGGCCATTTCGGACTCTCCTGCTGTGTTTTTCCCGACGCCTCCGGCTTTTGCCGGAAGCGCCGAGATCCCGGCCCAGACCGAGGTTTGTGTTTTTTTGTTTTCAGGGCCTCCGGCGCTGCCGGAGGCTCTAGAAGCTTGTTTGCGGGCCGCCCCCCCGCCCCCCCCCCCCGGCCACGGCCCCCGCGCCCAGCGCAGAGGTGAAGGGAGGGGGGAGGGCAGATCAGGTGGCTTTCGCAATTCCGCCGACTTGCAGAAGGAGCGAGAACTGGCGGCGATCGTGGAAGTGTTTTGGTGGGTCAGGAGCCACTGGGATGCATATAAGGATATTTGAGGGGCTCTTGGGATGCTTATCAGGCGCATCTTGCAGGGCTCTTTGTGGCATCTGGGGGGCGTTTTTAGAGCTTCTTGGGGGTCTCTTGGGGGCTTCTTGGTGGGGCCCTCTTGGAGACCTCTTGGGGCCTCTTGGGGGCGCCTCGGGGGCCTCTGGGGGGCTCTTGGGGCCATCATGTGGGGAACGGCTCGACATGTTGGTCGTATTCGACCTCTTGGGCCACCCTGTGGGCCCTCGTGGGCCTCTCTAGGCCGTCTTGGGGGCCCCTGCGCCGGCTTGGGACCCTCCTGGGCAGTCTTGGGGCTCTCAGGGAGGTTCCACCGATGGCCCCAGTGGCTGCGTTCGCATGGCGCCCCCGCGCGCATTTCGGCACACCTCTCATACGTTTCCTGCCCCCCAGGGAGGTGCCATGCACGGCCCAAGTGGGTGCGTTTTCATGGCGTCCCCGCTCCCATTTCGGCACGCCCCTCACGTGTATCCTGCCCCCCAGGGAGGTTCCACACACGGCCCCAGTGGGTGCGTTCGCGTGGCGTCCCCGCGCGCATTTCGGCACGTGCAAGTCTCACACGTCCCTGCCCACCCACGGTGCTGCTTACGCGCTTCCTGCCTGGAGCTCCGCCTACTGTTCGAATTCCCCTACCCCTGGGGCGCGCGCGAGGATGGGGGACACCAGGACACCGCCATCACAAAAGTGATATAATCAATTACGCTAAGGCCACCCCCTGAGCATACCCGCGAACGAGACGACCCAGTTCAAGAACCTCAGCAGAAGGTACAAGAAGAACCCGACAACGAAGTCTATGGAGCGCAAAGAGTGGTACCATCTTTTGGGGGAGGGGGGGACGGGGCCAGGTGCCGGTGGCGCAGGCACGCCTCCAGGTTGGTGCGACCACCAGGCGGAGATGGGCGCGAAAAGGCATCCATCCTCTGTTCCTCCTCCCCGTATGTCAGCCAGCAGTGGCGGTGTCTCTGACACGTCGGCCCACAGTGGCGAAGTTCATATCGAGTGTGATGTGGGTTCCTCGTCTTTTTCTTTCTCCTCGGCGGCAGCTGGCGCCACGGACGTTGCCCCGAAGGCAAAGAAGAATGAGCATCGGCGCAAAAATAAACATTTGAAGGAGGCTTCGCGTGTGATCGAGCCCGTCTTTGAGGAGCAGCCGGATGTTGCAGGCGCTCCTGTTTGCACGTTGGCTCTGTTCTAGGGGCTGATAATGACGGCCTTGCCACGGGCTTGCAGTCTGGTGCCTCACAAGACACGAAAGAGTTGGACGACATGGATGTTGAATTGCTTTGCCGTTTCGCTGATGGCGATGCCGTGCTCTCGGAATTGCAAGAGCAGCCGTCGCTGAGGGCCCCAGCTTTGGAGCTGGCCTCTCGGCTGATGGCAGCTGGTGCGAATTCGAATGTTGCTTTCCTGCCTATTGTGCAGGGCTTGGCGGATCAGCAGAAGTGATGTCTACCCTGGTTTTTATCTGTGTGATAGCTGGACTTTTATTTTTGTCAGTGGCTCCGTACGCTTCTAAACATTTTCCATGCCTGCCTGCCAATCTCTGCGGAAGCTTGCCTGAGCAGTTGCCTACAGCAGGGGAAAAACTCCTCTTGCTCCTCCTTTGCCGCTGCCGCCGCCGCCTCCGCCTCCGCCTCCCCCTCTACCTCGCGGTTGGCGTTTCGAAGATACAGCCAGACTGAGGTATAAGATCGAGGTCTGCTCGGGGTGGGCACCCCGATTTTCTTCGTGCTGGGTGATCTTGTGCATCCTGGGCAGCGTACCCTTGGGTGCTCTGTGTGTCTCGGCCGGCGGAGGGTCTCATGCTCTCGAAGGATGTTCTCCTGTCCCAGATCTGGCTGTGGCGTGCGACGTGGCGCCGCCGGCCCTGCTCATCACTACTGCGCGCTCTCCCCGGCCTCGGAAACAGCGTGCGCCGAGAGAGCCCTGGCAGGGGGGTGGCGTGCACGGAATGGGGCCCTCGCGGTGGGCCCGCCTCACGTGTGCAGCGGGCCTTTCAGGGATCGATGTCGCCCGCTGCTTCTTGCGCGTCTTTCACGTTGCTCCCCCCCAAGGCACGCGGCGGCCATGGCGCAGGCCGAACGCGAGGCCCTGTCGCAGGCGGGGCCACGAGGAGGAGGAGGAGGAGGAGGAGGAGGAGGAGGAGGAGGAGGAGGAGGAGGAGGAGGGGAGGAGGAGGGGAGGGGGAGGGGGCGGAGGAGGAGGAGGAGGAGGAGAGGAGGAGGAGAGGAGGAGGAGGAGGAAGGGGGAGGGGGAGGAGGGGGAGGGGGAGGGGGGACAAGCTAGGTGCGCTCGCGTCAACATCTGACATCCTACCCCTCCCTCCCATCCCTTCCCATTGAGCTACTTCATTGTCCTCTCACCGAATCGGGCTTCGCATCTGACCCTGTTACCTAAGAGGGAAAGGTGGAGGACGACGGCGCGATGAAAACGAAGACGACGACGACGACGAAGACGACGACGACGACGACAACCACGACGACGACGACGACGACGGCGGCGACGACGACGACGACGACGATGAGGACGACCGGCGACGAAGACGGGACGCCGCCCAAAAGGGGGGGGGGGCTTTCTGCGGCCCCAAAAATCAACGAATCGACACCGGATGTGTAATCACCTCCAATGTTTTTGCCGGGGATCATTTTCTAGATTTGGGGCTTCTTAAAAAGAATCGAAAACGTCGGCGCTGCAGCGGGAGCACGTTTTGGAACAACGAGAGGCGCAGAAATTGGGCCAGCGCTGCAGCGGGAGCACGATTCGGAACGAGCGGGAGCGCGGAAATGAGGCCAGCGCTGCAGCGGGAACACGATTCGGAAGGAGCGGGAGCCCGAAAATTAGGCCAGCGCCTCAGCGAGAGCAGCATTTTAGAAAAAAACACAAGCGAAAACCCAACTCCGGGGAATCCTGTGTGTAAAAAAACAGTACGCGGGGGGGTGCCGAATATCTTCCGGACGCCATCAGGGGAAGTGGGAGAGTAGTATTCATATTGTGTAATTGTGGAGGAGGAAGAGGAGAACGAGGAGGAGGAGGAGGAGTAGCAGGAGGAGGAGGAGGGGGAGGAGGAGGAGAAGGAGAATGAGGAGAAGGGAGGACTGGGAGGAAGAATGGGAGGAGCACCGATGAGCATCGATCGAAAGGAAGGTCGGGGCGGCGGGCGCCCGACCACGCGGCCCGACCACGTGAGGAGGAATGGGAGGATTAGTGTCCTCAGGATGAAGAGGAGGAAGAGGAGGAGGTTGATAAGGAGGAGGAGGAGGAGGAGGAGGAGGAGGTGGATAAGAAAGTGGATAAGGGGGAGGAGGAGGAGGAGGAGGAGGAGGAGGAGGAGGTGGAGGAGGAGGAGGAGGTGGAGGAGGAGGAGGAGGAGGAGGAGGAGGAGGGAGAAGAGGAGGAGGAGGAGGAAGAGGAGCAATAGGAGGAAGCAATTACGATCAGAAGGGCCTCCTCGGATGTCTCTTGTTTTTTGAGGCCTCTTGGAGCGTCTGGGGGGGGGGCATCTTGGGTGCCTCACGGTTCCTCTTGAGGCCTCTTGGGAGCCTCTTGGAGGCCTCTCGGGCGCCTCTTGGGGCCGCCTGAGCGCCTCTTGGGTTCCTCTTGTGGCGCTCTTTGGAGTTTTTGGGACGTTCTTGGAGCAATCTTGGAGAACGCCGATCAACAAAGAGGGGTTCCCCAATTAGCGCTGCCCCTCAGGAGCCTCAAGCATGGTCTCTTTGGACGCTCTTGGGGCGCTCTTGGAGCGCTCTTGGGGCCGTCTTGGGGCTCTCTTGGGCCTCTCTTGGGCCCTCCTGGGCCATATTGGAGCAATCTTGATGCCTTGTAAGGCTATCGAAAGCGAACGGGCGACGATGCAAGCATCATTGATGTTCCTTAGGTGCTAGAAGGAGTTTGGCCTCTTGGAGACCTCCTTGGAGGTTTCGGAGGCCTCTTGGAGCCGTCTTGGTGCGGTATTGGGGCCTTTTGGAGCATCATCGGAGCCATCTCGGGGCATCCTGGGCTATCTTGAGCCATCTTGGAGCTCATCTTGGGCTCCGAGACGCTCTTGGGGCCGTCTTGGGCCATCTTGAACGCTCCAACTACCAGAACAACAACACCGTCCAGGTCCAGGGGAGGGGGTAGGGGGAGGGATCAAGAGTCTCTCTCCCCGCCCGCGAGCCGTCTCGCACACTCCCACCCGCCCTCCCAACACATACGTAGCACCCGAGCCGCAGCCCGAGCCGCAGCATATGCAGCAGTCGTCTTTGGATGGCCAGCTACTGGGGGCAAATCCGCCGCCGCCGCCGCCGCCTCCGCCGCCGCCGCCGCCGCCCGCCGCCGCAGCCGCCGCGTCGCTGCGCTGCCGCCGCCGCTGCCGCTGTCCGCTGCCGCCGCCGACACCGCGCCGCCCGCCGCCGCCGCCGCCGCCGCCCCCCTGCCAAATCGCCGCCGCAAGCCGCTGCCGCCACCGCTGCCGCCGCCGCCCGCCGCCGCCGCCGCTGCGCCCCCGCCGCCGGCCGCCGCCGCCCCCGCCGCCGTCGCCGCCCCCGCCGCCGCCGCCGCCGCCCCCGCCGCCGCCACCGCCGCAGCCGCCGCAGCCGCTGCCCCCGCCGCAGCCACCGCCGCCGCCGCCGCCACCAAGTGTATTCTGTTGTTTTGGCCAGGGGTGGTGGGGGGAGGCCGCATCGGGTTCGCTGCGCGTGCTCCGAGTTTCGAGACCGTTTTTGCCTAACAGCTCTTGCTGATAGGTTTCTAGTGGTCTCAAAAGAGAGCATCATGACTCCTCAGGGGGGTCTGGGCGGGACCCGGAGAGGCTGCCGCCGAAGCCGAAATCACTTGGGACATCCTCGCAAAATCGCTCTTGGTGCTCCCAGAACTCCATTCCCGGGCCACATTTTGGATGCCCGGAGCCAACTGTAGGCCACTTCGTGCTCTTCGACTTCCCAGAACTCCATTCCCGGGCCACATTTTGGATGCCCGGAGCCAACTGTAGGCCACTTCGTGCTCTTCGATTTCCCAGAACTCCATTCCCGGGCCACATTTTGGATGCCCGGAGCCAACTGTAGGCCACTTCGTGCTCTTCAAGTTCCCAGAACTCCATTCCTGGGCATGATTTTGAATGCCCGGAGCCAACTGTAGGCCACTTCGTGTTCTTCTAGTTCCCAGAACTCCATTCCTGGGCCACATTTTGAATGCTGAGGCAGGCTGATGCTGAGGCTGAGGCAGGCTGAGGCTGAGGCAGGCTGAGGCTGAGGCCGAGGCTGAAGGCAGACTGAGGCTGAGGCTGAAGCAGGCTGAGGCTGAGGCTGAGGCAGGCTGAGGCTGAGGCAGGCTGATGCTGAGGCAGGCTGAGGCTGAGGCTGAGGCTGATGCAGGCTGAGGCTGAGGCAGGCTGAGGCTGAGGCCGTGAAGGCAGACTGAGGCTGAGGCTGAAGCAGGCTGAGGCTGAGGCTGAGGCAGGCTGAGGCTGAGGCAGGCTGAGGCTGAGGCTGTGACTGCGACTGCCGTTGCCGCTGCGACTGTCATCGCGAATGCGACTACGACTGCGAGAACAGCAGAATTCTACAACTGGAATTTCATCTGAATCTTAAGGGGAATGCTTTCAGATATGCTTCTACACCTCGCTGTTAGGTTGCTTTGCCGGGATAATTTTTGTACACGGGATGGTGGGGGCATATTGTGTTTTGGACGGTTCTTTATAAGGGATGGTGGGGGGAGGGCCGCATGGACGTGGGTTGGTTCCCAGTCGCCTGGGGAAGGGGTGTATATTAATAGGGAGCAGTGATCAAGACCCCCTCCCCGCCCGCAAGCCGTATCGCTCACTCCCACCCGCCCCCACAACACATACGTAGCACCCGAGCCAGGCCCGAACCGCAGCATATTCAGCAGTCGTCTTTGGATGGCCAGCTACAGGGGGCAAGTCCGCCGCCGCCGCCCGCCGCCGCCGCTGCGCTGCCGCCGCCGCCGCCGCTGTCCGTCGCCGCCGCCGCCGCGCCCCGCCGCCGCCGCCGCCGCGCCGCGCGCCGCCGCCGCGGCCGCCGCCGCCGTCGCCCCCGCAGCCGAATCGCCGCCGCCGCAGCCGCCGCCGCCGCCGCTGCCGCCGCCGCCGCCGCCGCCCCCGCCGCCGCCGCCGCCACCGCCGCAGCCGCCGCAACCTATGCCCCCCGCCGCAGCCGCCAAGTGTAAACTGCATTTTTTTTGTCAGGGATGGTGGGTGGAATCCGCATCGGGTTCGGTGCGCATGCTCCGAATTTTGAGGCAGAGTGTGTTTTGTTTTGTTTTTTCAAAGGGATGGTGTGGGGGGGGGCCCGCATTGTCCCTGCTTGGCTCCCAGTCGCCTGGGGGAGGGGGTGCGTAGTAATAGTGAGCAGTGATCAAGCTACCCACCCGCCCCAAACCGTCCAGTTCACTCCCACCCACCCCCGCTACACATGAGTAACATGCCAACCTGAGCATGTTCAGCGGACGTCTTTGTATGGACAGCTACTGGGAACCAAAGCCGACCCCAGGTGCGCGACGCTTGGGTGAGGTGCGCCACGCGTGCCAGGGGCGCCACGCGCGCCAAACACCCCTGAGGCCCGAGGGTGCCGGGCACGCCTGGTGCGCCAGATGCGCCACGTGTTTCGAGTGCACCAGGTGCGCCGCACACTCCAGCCGCGCCATGTGCGCCGCGTTCGAGGTACGTGCAGAGTGCGTCAGGTGCGCCTGCGCGCGTGACAGCACACATCGGGAAACATGTCGGCCCCCGCCATCCTTGTCGAAAACTGATGCCCATCATCATGTCTGGTGGACCTCCGAACAACAGGCCCCGCCCCGCCACCCCCGCCGTCCCTGTCAAAAACCACTTGACAGTGATCGCGGGATGGCCGCGCATGTTCTGGATTTGTGCATGGTGTATGGTTTTTCGTCACTGATGGTAGCCCTGCGCACAGCAGGGGATATGCTGACACCCCCGCCGTTTCTGTCAGAAACAATACAAAGTACTCGCGGGCCTCATGCACATGACTCAAGACTTTGCCCCACAGTGTATTTTGCATTGTTTTTTGACATGGATGGTTGGGGGCCGCATCGGGTTGGCCGCGCATGCTCCAAATGTGGGGGCAGAGTGCAGTTTGTATTGTTTTGTTGACAGGGATGGCGGGGGGCGGGTCGGCATGGTGTCGGCATGGTGTCACAATGGTTTCGGGTTGGCCCCCGGTCGCCTGATGGAGGGGGTGTATATTAGTAAGGAACGGGGATCAAAACTTCCCCGAAGTGGAAGAAGGGAGTTGGAAGAGGAGCCTCCTATGCCATAAAGGGCTGGTGGGATTTGCGAGGGCTTGTGGCCTCGGGGACGCGAATCTTGTATAATTTACCAGGGGTGATGGTCTCGGGGACGCGAATGTTGCGTGAGTTAAGCGATTTTGATGCTGCGGGGACGCAAGAATTGCATACTTTACAAAGGTTTGTGGCCTCAGGGACGCGAACCTTGTAGTTTATGAGGGGTTATGGCCTCGGGGGCGCGAGTCTCAGGTATTATTACGTGTCCCACGCCCCCCCCGGAATTCAGAGCACGCGACCCGAGGGTGGTAAATTGCAGGTTTGGTGCCTTTCCCCTCGCGGGCTCTTACCCTCAAGCATGACTGTAACATTGGTTCTACAGCCTGGTAGCCCCACACGGGGGCTGGCGGAAACTATTATTATTCGCAGTATGTTCATTATTAGTGATATCATGTTATGTGTATGTGTATGTGTATGTGTATGTGTATGTGCATGTGCATGTGCATGTGCATGGGTATGCCTGCATGTCTGTATATACGTACGCATGTATGTAGTTATGTATGTATGCATGATTGTATGTATGTACGTATGTGGGTAGATAGGTATGTATGTATGTATGTATGCATGTATGTATGCATGCATGTATGTATGTATGTATGTATGCATATATGTATGTATGCATGTATGTGTGTATGTAAGTATGTATGTATGTACGTATGTATATATGTATGTATGTATGCATGTATGTATATATGTATGCATGTATGTATGTATGTATGTATGTATGTATGTATGTATGTATGTATGTATGTATGTAGGTTTGTGTGTACTTATGTATGCATGTATGCATGTATGTATGTGCGTATCTATGTATGTGTGTAGGTATGCCTGTATGTATGCATGTATGTATGTGTGTATGCATGTATGTATTTATGTCTGTCTGTCTGTCTGTCTGTCTGTCTGTCTGTCTGTCTGTATGTATGTATGTATGTATGTATGCATGCATGCATGCATGCATGCATGCATGCATGTATGCATGTATGTATGTATGTATGTATGTATGTATGTATGTATGTATATATGTACGTACGTACGTACGTACGTACGTACGTACGTACGTGTGTGTGTATGACTGTATGTATGTATGCATGTATGTATGTATGTATGTATGTATGTATGTCTGTATGTACGTATGTATATATGTATGTGTGTATGCATGTGTATATGTACGCATGCATTCATGTGTATACATATGTATATTTATACATATACATATATGCATATATGCGTATGCATACACGTATATAAACACATTTACACACTGCGATATGTTTATGCAATGCATTGGGGTCGGACGCGCGCCTCCAACAGAGGCACACAGTGCTGGCCTTTCTGCGTCCCGGCCCGCGCCCCCGTGTCGACCAGACGTGAGAGTGATCTTTCGCCAGAGTGACCTTTGATGCGGGCCCACGGGGGTCCCCCGATCGCCGAACGCGCAACGCCGGCAGCGGCTTGCTCGCCCAGGTTTGGCCACGCCGCGTCCCCCGTGAAGCCGCTCGTCAAAGGTCGCCCTTGCCCAGGGTCGCTCCTGCGCGTGGCCGACCTGTGGGCGGCTGCGCGCTGCAGGCGACCGCCGAGGCGCCCCCCCCAGCCGCGCCGGAGCTGCCACAGAGGCCGCCGGGCGAGGCGGCCGCCGCCCCCGGGCCGCCCCTCCGGGGCCCTGGGCTTCGGTGCCGTGGTCAGGGGCAGCATTGAGGGGGGGGAGCGTAGGACTCGAGTTAGGATGTCCCAACCCACTTCAGCCTTGACCGCCAGAGAGGGCCTCGAGCGCCAGGATCGTTTCGAGACTGATGTGCTTTCACGTGTCGTGCCAGCCAGCGGGATATTAGTCGAGGGGTGGGCGACTAACTTTCCGGCGGAGCTTGCCCATCCCCCCCCCTCCATTTCCACCTCCACTTCCTCCCTCTCCTTCTCCTTCTCCTCCTCCTTCTCCTCCTCCAACCCCCCTCCACCCTTTCCGACAGCACGTGCCCATCCCCCCCAGCGGATCCAAGGGGGGGGGACGATTATTGCTCCATCCTGAGCACATGTCGGGGCAGTGAAGAGCAGGGCTCGGGCTTGCCAACGCTTGCCGAGCGCGTTCCACTACTCGCAAAGTGTCTACTCGCAAGCGTTCGAAGAACACACGTCTGCTTCGAAGTCGTTTATCGTAGATCCCCCCGCGGCGGATCCAGGCCGTCTGCGAGTAGTTACTTTGCGAGTAATGGAATGAGCTTGTCTAAACGCCTTTTGTCCGCCCGAAGAGTTTGTATACTAATGGGGGAACGAAAAAACGACAAACACAACAACTCGGAGGTCCGCGCTGAGAGGTTTGTACACTTAAAGTTGCCCCGGGCGATGGAACCTGACTGGGGCGGGGTATACAAAACATCTGGAGGACTGACGGACGCGTTCTGGATTTAGACGGTCCAGTTTTCGTGGGATGTCTGCCGCGGGAGCCCGCGTCATTTCTCAGACTAGGTCTCGTCACTCTCATGATGGCCTCGTCAGTGCCCCGAACCCGAGTCTTACGTCTCCCCGATCAGGGGGGGCTGCATCGATCCCCAATCGCCCATTGATCGCCGAAAGGGGCCCGATGGCCCACCCCGCCCAGGAACGTGCGGATTTGCTATCGGGGGCCTACAGTCAACCCGCATACTCAGGATGGGCAACCTTCCCAAGGGTACCCTTGCATCCTTGCCCTTTCGGCCGATCCTTAACGACTTTCGCTGGCCAACCTCGTTCGAGAAACGTTAACATGGGCCTCCAAGGCCCTTGCATCCTTACTGCACTGTATCGCCGATGTTTCGGCGACGTATCGGCGATTCCATGTCGACGTTTATCCCCCCGCCCCCAGAGCCAGTCCCCCTCCTAACTTTGCCCCTCACGTAGGTGGAGCGGCTGCGCTTCTTCTTGGGCGTGGTTCCCGAGTGGTCTTCGAGCTAAACAAGTCAAGGGAGGCAAATCCACCAGGACTGGGCAACTGGCGTTTACTAAACGGCCTTGGGACTAAACAGCCCTGCCCTGTTCGGTTCCTTCAGTGGGGGCGTTTAGTAAACGGCCTCGCTCGTTGGAGTGGTATTTTTTTGGGCCGATTTTTTTGCCCTCTAGCAAGGCAGTCCAGAACAGTCCTCCCTCCAGGGCCCACTTTTCTCGGTTCTCCCAGGGCCCCTCTCTCATCCTCTCTCCGCCCGAATTGTGGCTATTACGTCTGCCGCGCACACATCTCACATTTTTCACAAGAAGCAAACACATCTCACATTTTCTGCGGCCACGGCCTTTACTCCCGATCCGACTCCGATATCCAGACTATCCGACGCAGCTCGGTGCTTGCATGGCGTTGTCGTGGATCTAGGAGCGGCTCATCCGACTCGATTTCGACTTCGTGCCGATGCAGCCCGATCCGAAGCACACTCCGATTGAATCCGATCTTCCGACTAGCCGATCACATTCACTCTTGCCTGCGTCATTTTGTCACTCATCCGCCCGTCGCTGCGGTTAAAGGAGCTGTTGAGCGAAACTGACTGGAGCGTCGGCCGCGTGTCGCAGGTGGTAAAACGAATCGCTGCCGTGTCGTCGATCAACGTGAAGGAGCACATCATGAACAAGGCACCCCCGAAGATACCCCTGAGTTAGGAGAAGATGGAGAAGATCAATCACCTTGGTTGGGCTGTTGTGCAGATAGTGTATAACACCGGACCGCAAAACAGGTTATTACCCGAATGTTTTGCGAGAGTTGAAATAATAATGATTCGGCTTCGTGCGTGGAGCCAGATGACGCCTCCCACCGAAGTTGCAATGCGGCCTGACATCAAGGCGGAAGGCCTGGCGAGAGTTTGAATGAGTTTGCAAATCTGATCCTCCGGGGAGCGAATGTCTTCTGCTTTCGAGGAAAGAAGAAGACCGAAACCCAAGCAGTGAACGAGGGTTCCCGCGATGGCGTTATCACGGTACGCGGGGGTCGCCAATTTCCCGATCAGTGCCAGGAGAGCCGAGTAAGAACAGGATTGCGACCAAGTCTTTCTCAGAGAAAGGGTTGTCGTGCGACGGCGCCCGTCAGGTCGAGTGATTCGAGCGCAAGCATGATTTCCGTGCGGAGATCTTGCATACCGCACAAGCCTCGATGCTGTTTCGATACCCACGCCAGTCAGGAGGCTGTGCTGCGAGTGTTCGCGCACGTGTCAGGGATGCCTTGCCATTTTTTGTGCAAGAGGTTGTGTTTCTACGGCCAACCACAAGTGCATTGCGCTGCTGAAGTTGGAACGGCAGTTCGCCTAATTAATGGAGTCCCGGGGAGCATTTTTGGTGGAAGATAACTGCGGATCTGCGCGCGTCAGTTGGCAGCCCTGAGGCAGCATAACATGCTCGAATGCGAACCGGGCAAGAGGTTGCCGAAAGTATGATCCTCGCGTAAAGTGTGCACGTTTGGCCGAGGCCGAAAGGGAGCAGGACACGAAACCCATGGTGGAGCAGCAGTTGTGCGTCCTAGAGCGTAATGCCTCTGTTTACGGCAGGTGCGATGCCGCGCAGGGTGCCCGAGTTGCCGATATGACACAAGCCGAAGCCGAAGAGGCTGTTTCGATCGGCAATCGTGGGACTCGGGCCGTGGCGCTCGAGCTTGAGGAAATGACTCAGGCCCAGAAGGGCGAACTATTCGCCATGGAGCTGGACCCTTAAGAGGAAGACCAAACCTATGGAGTGCGGATTGCCAATGCAAGAGAGAGAGAGAGAGAGAGAGAGAGAGAGAGAGAGAGAGAGAGAGAAAAAGAGAGAGAGAGAGAGAAAGAGAGAGAGAGAGAGAGAGCACTTGTCGTTAACAGAAAGATCGGGCGATTCTCGTCAGGCAGCAGTGACGTCGACCGTAGCGCAGCATGCTGGCACCGCGACCGCTTCGTCGGGGGTCGGATGGGTAGCGGCGACAGCCGCTGGCTATGCTGTTTTCTGCTATCAGCGCCAGGCCGCTCCGAGGGGGAGGTCTTGGGCGAACCCGTAGCGTCCGTTGCGGGAGGTCCGCCCCTGTGCCGCCCCCCCATAACCGTGCCGAATTTACGCTGGGGGGTGGTGCGGGTTCCCCCGACGGCATGGCCCCGTGCTTACAGGCATGCCGTAGCATTGGACAGGCATTGTTTGGCGGTCGCGAGCGCACCGCGGCGCTCGCAGACCCTTCCCCCCTCGTCAGCGGACGTTACGGGGGAGGGGCGTGGCAATCTCCTGTTTCCAGGGCGCCTCTACCTTCTGTGCGCATCTAAGACACGTGCGGCGAAGCACCGCCGCCCCCTGCCTCTCGGAAGCGCGCGTGCGATGTCATGTCGATCAAAGATGCGGCCATGCTGGTGGGCTGCGTGGGCCAATCGCTGGGGGCGCAGCAGCTCCACCGAAAGCCCTTGCGGCAGGGTCCGCATGGCGCCGCGCTCCATTCCGGTGCACCGCTCGCGCGTTTCGAGCCTTGAGCCTTGAGCCTTGAGCCTTGAGCCATGAGCCAGCACGCCCTGCACCTCTCGCCTTGGGCCTCGAGCCTCGAGCCTCGAGCCTTCGAGCCCTGTGGCCCATGGCAAGCGCAGCGCGCCCTTTACATATCATTCTCATCTTCCGCTCACCCTCTACATCTCATTCATGTCTCTCTCCAGTTGCGCTGCCGAGCACCGCCGTGTCTCGCTTGAACTTGGAGCGGGATCTCGCGGCGGCGACCTCGGCGCCTACTCGGGGGTCGATTTCGTTTCGCGACGCTCGGATGCCGCGTGCACCTGTCGGGGGGGGGGGGGGGGGCGGGGGAACAGGGAGGGGGGCCGAGATGTTCGCCAGCGTCTTCGCAGCCCACTCCAGGAGATGGGCGGCCTTGACTCCCCAATCGCCCCGAAGTTCATGGCGTCGCATCCCCCGGAGGTGGGCCAGCAATTGCTGCGCCTGCGTTGCGGGCCGTGTTTGAGGAGCAGCTCCAGCCTTTCAGAAACGACGTCGAGGAATTTATGGAAGACGCGGGCAATCTCAAGAACCGCGTGCGCGAGAACGTGGAGATGATGCACCTTAAAATCGATGGCGTATCAGCAGACCTTGCTGAGTTCAAAGAGCGCTGTGAAGAACGTTATTCGTCGATGGAAGTTGCGACCGCGCCTGAAAACGCGAAGGGCGAAGGTGTGGTTGCAGGGCCCTCATGACAAGGTTGACAAGATGAGTGCTCCCAGGGCGCCCCCGAGAGAGTTGGGCAGTCTTTGCTCAGTCGTCTTTGTGGTTTGGGTTCTTTGGTGAGTTTTGATGGGGGCGAACAATGGGCCAAAATGCACCGGGAAGTCGCGGGGCCTCAAATCATCAGATACTTACATCAAGGGCGACTTCGACGGTCGCGTCTTCGCCAAGTTCGGTTCGCAGACGGAGAGGGGTCCGGCCGTTGAGATCACGTACAAATCGCCTGTTTTAAACAATGAGGTATTGGCCAAGGTAGATTTTCAAATTGACAAAATGATTGTCCTGGGCGTTGCTTTTGGAACAACATGCAACGTGACAGAATGGGGCTGGTCACGGTCAGATCATAACTCAATGATATATATATTCTGTCCCTGACATATCTTGCTGTGTTCTCGAGGGCGACCGCTCGACAGGATGTCGTTTCCATAATGCTTTTTGGCTCTGTAGTTTCAGAGGGCCGCGCACCTTCCATGTGGCCAAGGTTGGCTGACCGCGGCGCCAGCCTCGCCCTCGGCTACCTCGGGCGCTGCCCTGCGGCGCCGAGCTGCCCGCCCTGCCCGAGCTGCAGCCTCTCCTGCGCGCGCGTCGCGTGCCCAGCCGCGCCGCCCTGCCCGGCTTGCCCCGCGGGGGCCTTCTCAGCGGCCGCGCCCCAGGAGGCGCCAGCCGCTCCGCGGGGCCCCCAGGCGCCGCCCACCGGGCCGTGCCCGGAGCCAGCGCCCTGCGCGGGCGGGTCAGGAGGCTGGTGGATCTTCCTGCTGGGCCTCATCGTCGGCGTGCTCCTGAGCGTGCTGGCCTGTGCAGCCTGGCGAGCGGCGGTGGCAGCCGCCCGTGCCCTGGTCGCCCCTCGGGCGAGGGCGCCCCCGCCCTGGCGGGCGAGCTGCCCGCTGCCGCCGCCGTCCCAGGCGGTCCCTCAGAGGCGACACCATCGACCTTGAGGAGGCGGCATGGCCCGCACGCTTGACGTTCCAGAGCGGCAGATCTTAGTATATTTCTTCGACGCCCCCAACGGGTTTCGATGGCATATGCGATTGCTCGCCCTGGCCACGCCCAACCCTGGGCAGTGGATATGTTCGACGCCAGACCTGAGCATTCAGTTCATCGACGTCACCACCCACAGGGTGATCCCCCTCGCGCGGGACTCGGAGCTCCCGCGGCGGATCAGAGGCGAGGTCTACGCCTTCGATCCGTTGACCCCCGAGGAGCTCCAGCAGGTCCGCCGAGAGGCCAAGGAGCTGCTGGCCGTCTACGGGCTCACGGGGGGCGCGGACGCGCAGCCCGAGGGTGGGCGCTGGCTGATCGCCGACCCCGCGCACCTGGGCTTCGGCGACGCGCTCCCCGCCGCGGCCCTTGCCGATGACGACAGCCTCACCCTCCGATTCGACCGCGGCCTCGCCTGCGTGGACGAGGACTGGCTCGCCGTGGAGAGGGTGCTGGACGAGGACCTGGACAACCTGGAGGTTGCTCAAGTCGACGGGCGCGGGCCGCGACAGGCGGATCCTCGGCGACGAGCGCGCGAACGGGGTGCCCGTGCTCTCTCTCGCCGCCGCGGCGAGGGCCAGCAGCAAGGCCCTTCGGCCTGGCTGGCCCTTCCGCGGCGACGCCTGCGCCCCGGAGCTTGTCATTGCGCTCGTCGCGGCGGGGGTCGTGTTCATCGCCCGCCACCTGGACTGGAGAACGAAGTCGGGGGTCAGTACTACGTCGGGGGTGTGCCGGACGCACCGCCGCATCTGCGAAGGCCTCGACCAGGCCATCTGCTACGACCAACTCGACTTCGCTAACTGCGCGGTCATCGAGCACCTCGCCCGCTGGCTCTACGAGGTGGAGTCGGCGGTCAGGAGGGACCCGAAGGTGCCAGACTTCACGAACCTGGACGGCATCTTCGCGGACGGGCGGATGCAGCTGTCGACCTTCTCCAAGTGGGTCTCCTCGCTCCGCCGCGACGAGGCTCAGATCATGAATCAGGAGCGGCTCTGGAGCGAGGAGCACGGCATCGACCACACCGAGCACAAGGGCAAGGGCGGCAAGGGGCCAGGCCGCGGCGGCGGCAAGGGCCCCAAGCCCTCTGCCGAGTAGGGGCCCTCGGCCCCTGGGCGCCCGGGTCAACGGGGCAGGTCCTCTGGCGACGCCTGCTTCGACACCGCCTGCTGCCCGGGCGCCCCCCTCGTCGCCATCTCTGTGCTGACGCTCCTCGTGGGCGTCCCCTTGGTCGGTGGAGGCCCCGATGTGAGCTACGGCACGGTCGAGCTTGGCGGTCCGATGATGCGGGAGATGGCCCTCGACCTGACCCCGCCAAGGACTACCGCGCCATCCAGGGTCGCAGTCACGGAGACCCCTTCCCCCTCTCTCTGTCTGGGGAGGTGCTCGCGCGCGGCGGCCATGCTGGGCCTGCTTCGCGTTCGCGAGTGCGATGTGTACGCGAGGCGATCTGGTCTCTGAACGCCCTCGACGCCCCACCGCGCGCCCTTCGGGCGCGCCAGCCTTCGTCGAGCCGTCGCCTCGCGGAGGCGCAGCGCTCGATCATCTCGCGCGTCAGCCGGCGCATCGAGAGCCACGGGGAACGACCCGACATCCTGCCCGCCACCGCCTACGCCGACCTCATCGAGAGTCACGACTTGCACTCTCGGGGCAGCCGATGAACCTGAAGCCGTGCGACCCCAGCCTTCTCAAGGTGCTCCACCGCGACCGTTTCCCCCAGGAGCTCCGCGGCTGCCTGGGCACCGAGGGTCGCAGGTACCTTGACCACGCCGACGAGCTTATCTTCAGGACTGAGGGCGAGCTTGACGTCCTCCAGGAGAACGAGCTCATCCAGCCCGTCACGCCGTATTGGGACCCGATCCTGAAGAACAACCGCCGCGCCAGGGTAGACTTCATCAAGCGCCTCGCCTCCGTAGGCCTCGTCGGGTTCAGGCTCTCCATCCGTGGCCGCATCGGCGCCTTCTGCGTGGGCAAGAAGGACGGATCCCTCCGCCTCGTCCTCGACGGGCGTGAGCCCTCCTCGCTCCACAGGAGGCCGCCCCACGCCGCCTTGGGATCCGCTGGGGCCCTCGCAGGGCTCGACCTCTCTGACCAAGCCCTGCGGTCCCAGGGCGTCGATCCCCAGGCGGCCGACATCCACGCGGCGGGCCTGGACCTGAAGGATGGGTTCTACCAGTTCGCGAACGACGACCTCGCGGACTGGTTCGGGTTCAACTACCCCGAGGCCGCGTCCGACTTCGGCGACCCACTGGTGTACATCCCTGCCGACAGCCGCTTCGTCCAGGTGTCGAGCGACACTCGGATCTTCGCGGTCTTTCGGGGTCTGCTGATGGGTTGGTCGTGGTCCCCCTTCTTCTGCCGGGATTTCTTGGAGGAGGCCCAGTGCAAGGGTGAGCTTGGGATGTGAAGGCGGAGGCCGCTTGGTGCACGAGCGGCGCCCCGCGCCCTTGCTGGCGCCCGGCTGTCCCGTGTCCCAGCCCTACGTGGACAACGCCAACGTCATCATTCTCAGCCGCCGGGACACCGAGCGCGCGCTGCGCGGCATCCAGCACGTCCTGGACTACTTAGGCATCGACTACCACGACCTGGTGGAGCCCACGAAGTTGTGCACCGCGGTGGGCGTCGTGCTCGACACGGCTGCGCGCCGCCTTCGCCATGCGGGGGCTCGCGCTTGGCGCCTGTACCTTGGCGTGGAGCATCTGCTTCGTGTGCGTCGTGCATCTGGCCGTGCCCTTCGAGTCGCGTACGGCCACCTGGTCAATCACATCATGATCACGCGGCCAGCGCTCGCGGCGCTGGACGAGGGGTGCCGCTTCATCGCGCAGCACCTGGACGAGCGGCCCCCCCTCGGCCGCCTCCTGCTGGACGAGCTCCGTGTGGTGAAGGGTCTGCTGCTGCTGGCCGACGTGGACCTCGCCGCCCCCTGGTCGCGTGTAGTCCACTGCAGCGACGCGTCGGGCGGCGAGCTGCGTGGCTGGGCGGGCTGGCCTTTCGCCGTCGCGGGGAACGGCGGCTACGCCCTCCACGAGACGGCCTGCGTCGACTACGAGGTCATGCAGGCTTTCAGGTACCGCGAGCGCTGGAGGTTCAAGATGGAGGACGAGGAGCTGGTCATGCCGGGGGCCCCGAGCGACGAGATCCGCGGCTGGGCCCCTGAGCCCACGGCCACCTCCGACCTGCTCATCGCCGGCCTCCTGGCCCCCAGCTGCGAGCCGTCGGTGATCGACCGATGCCTCCCTCGCACGAGGACCGTCATCGTGCTGGGCGCCGTGCCAGCTCTGGACGACGCCCTCCTGGTCCGCAGCCGTTGGAAGATGATCGTGCGAGGCGCCTTCAGGTACAAGGCCTCCATTCACGTGAAGGAGGCTCGGACCCAGCTCCTCGGCCTCGTCCGCGCCTCGCGCGATCCCCGCATGCGCGGCCTCCGCGTCGGCAGCCTGGGCGACAACATGGCGGCGCTCCTCAGCTTCGAGAAGGGGCGCGCCCGTGACAGGGCCCTCCTCCAGCTCTGCCAGGTCAGTGCCGCCCGCCAGATCGGGTGCGATATCCAGTGGAAGCAGCGCTACTGCGAGTCAGGCCGCAACCCGACGGACGCCGACAGTCGTGCTGCTGACCTGGGACATGTCCTACCTGATCATCCCCAGCGTGGCTGCTCGCGGGCCCTGGCCATCATCGAGTCGGCCAACGCGGGGCTTGCCACGGAGCCCGCGGGGCCCCTTGCTCGCGTGCGGCGCCCCGCACCCTGTGGGCCGGCCGCTGGCCTCCTGCCTGGCGGGGCGGCCGCGCGCCTTGCCAGGGTCGGCGCCTTCGCGCGGCGGAGGCCCCCTCAGGCTGGCGCCGTGCACGGGCACCCAGCGCCAGGGCCCCCTGCGCCCGGGCCCCCTCGCGCCGCCCCGCAGGCCACGCCGCGCGGACAGCCGTGCCAGCGCGCCCACGGGGGCCGCAGCCGCTGCCGGGCATTTTGCGAGCTCTACGCGGGCACCGGCAGGCTGACGGCAGCCGTCAGAGACATTCGTTTGCACTGCACGCCACACTTTCAGATAGGAAATGGTAAGCGTTTCGACGTCCATCATCATTTTGTCTTTCGTATTTTATCACGTTGGATTCGCCTCAAGAAGCTTTGGTACATTCCTTCCGGTACTCCGTGCACTTTCTGGTCACTCGCCACTGGGTCCCATCGGGACTCTCATCAGCTTCAAGGGCTTCGAGCTGCGCGTGCTACCTTACGGCTGTTACGACTATGCCATCAGTGCGGCATGCACTGGTCTCTGGAGAACCCGGCTGGGTCCAACCTCTTCAACTGGGACCCCCTCGCGGACTTCCTGAATACCTCAGGTGGCAACTGGGCCCTCCTCTCCACTACTGCCAGTACGGCTGCACCTATAAGAAGCCTACGTACCTCGTGTCGAGCTTCCCAGAGATCATCTCTCGAGCGCCTCTGCCCAGGGAACCACAGCCACGAGATTCTCCAGGGCAAGGTATCCCTCGCGCCACCCTCTGGGGCCATCCGCAGCCATTGGAAGACCAGCCTTGCGGGGGCCTACCCACCTGAGCTCTGCCGCAGATGGGCTCGCCTCCTCGCGGCCTGTGCTCCCCGCGCTGCGCGCTGTGCTCATGCCGGTGACCCGCTCGGCGACCGCTGGGAAACTGAGCTGGCGGCCAACTTCCCAGGCGGAGGCGTCCAGTCCCAGCGGCCGCAACCCTCCTGCCCTTCGGGGTCGCCGCCCGAGTGGCCCGCCTCGGCGCCGCAGTGGGGCGCCGCCTGGTCCAAGCCTGCCGCCGCTGGCGGGCAGGCGCCGGGCCGGGGCGCATGCAGCAGAGAGCGTGGGGGTTCGCCGGCGAGAGTGGGCGGTCGGCGCGGACAGGCCCTACCTCAAGCACCAGCGTGTCCAGCCCCGCGCCGTCGCCTTGTACCGCGAGGCCCACCGCAAGTTCAGCCAGTGGGCGGCCGAGCAGCACCTCCGCCAGGTGTCCATGGACGAGACAGACCTGGCCATGACAAGGTACCTCGACCACATGTACTTCCAGGGGCTCAGCACCGTCCACGCCAGGAACGCCGTCCACGGGGCGATCTTCGTGAAGGGCTACCCGCGACGATCGCCTACCACCATGTGCCGTGCCAAGGACGCCCTGGCCGGATGGTTCAAGGCAGGGCCCGATCGCGTCAGAGATCCGCTGCCCTGGGAGGCGGCGGTGCTGATCGCCGACAACCTCGCCGAGAGAGACCGCGAGGGGGTCGCCGCCGCTGGGGCCCTGCTCGTCAGCTTCGACGGGTACATCAGGCCGAGCAACACCCTGGCCATCACGAGCCGCGAGGTGAGCCAGCGCCAGGCGGGATCCAATCCCAACTACCCCAGCCTCGTGGTCACGATCGCGCCTCAGGCCGACGACCACGGCCAGCAGCCCGCCCCATCGACCAAGTCGGGGGACCACGACTGCACCATCGTCTTCGGCGACCAGGCCAGCCTCAAGGCCAACGGGGGCATCTGCCGCGACGCCCTTCTCTGGGCCTCGAGGAAGGCCCGCCGCGGCAGGCCCCTGTTCGACATCAGCCTCGCAAAGTACGAGCAGCTCTTCAACCAAGCCGTGTCCGACGTAAAGCTGAGCTCTCTCAGGATCACGCCGCGCTGTGCCCGACGCGGAGGCCCGAGCGCCGACGCAGCTCTCAAGCTGCGCCCTCTTGAGGCCATCCAGAAGAGAGGCCTCTGGCGCTCGGCCTCCAGCGTGCGGCGCTATGAGAAGCATGGCACATTCATGCGCCAGATTGCAAAGATGACGTCCTCCCAGCTTCGCTCTGTGCCCGCAGCCCTTCGAAGGCTGCAGAATATGTGAGAGAGCGTGATCCACCGCCCTTTATGGTGGAAAATTGCCAACCTTTTCCTCCGGAGCCCAGGGGTCCCCCCCCCCCCCCCTCCAAAAATCCCCCCCCCCCCCTGCTGGGACCCCCTCCCCCCCTCCCCTCCCCCCCCCCCCCTCCCTCCCGGCAAAACCCCCCCCTCCCCTAACCCTTCCCCCCCCCCCCTCCCCCTCGAAAACCGGGGGGGGGGGTCGCTGCCGGTTCGAACCCCTCCCCCCCCCTCTCCGGATCCGGAAAACCGGGGGGGGTCGCTACCGGTTGGACCCCCCCCCCCGCCCTCGAAACCGGAGGGGGGTCGCTGCCGGTTCGACCCCCCCCCCCCCCAAGCACCGCCAGCAAACGACTCCCGGTCCTTACCACCGCTCGCATGACATCCCCCACTGTTGTTCCCAGCACCACTGTCCTCACCACCGCTGCCCCCGCTGGTTCCACCACCGTCCCTCTTGTCCCCACCAGTGCCCCCACCACTGTCGCACTGCCCCCGCTGTTCCCACAACTGTTCCCACCACGGTTCCACTCTCCCCACTGTCTCCACGGACCCAACCACTGCCTATCCCCACTGTTCCCACTGTCCCACTGACTCCTCCGCTGTCCCACTGAGCTGTCCCATTGTTCCCACCACTTGTCCCCGCTGTCCCCGCCACTGTCCCCGCTGTACCTCTGTCCCATTGTCCCACCGCCGTCCTCGCCGACGCCTTTACCAGTGTCCCCACCACCATTGTACCCTCCACTGTCCCAGTGTTTCCACCTCATTCCCACTGTCCCCACACCGCTGTCCCCACCACCACCGTTCCCACCACTGTCCACTGTCCCCCCTGTTCCCACCATTGTCCCCACCACTGTCCCCGCCACTACCGTCCCCACCGCTGTCCCACTGTCCCCCCACTGTCCCCGCCACTGTCCCGCTGTCCCCTCGCCACTGTCCCCGCCAACACCGCCCCCGCCACTGTCCGCACCCCCACTCGGTTTTCGAGGGGGGGGGGGGTCGAACCGGTAGTGACCCCCCCCCCCCTTTTCATGATGAGCTGGGGGGGGGGTTCGAACCGGCAGTGACCCCCCCCGGTTTTCTGGAGGGGGGGGGGGGGGTTCGACCCGGTAGTGACCCCCCACGGTTTTCCGCCAGCAGCGGTAGAACACGCTCTTTCGAATATGTTCAAGATTTGATTTCCCACCCACCCTGCCCTAACAGTCCGTTTTACGGGGTACGGGATGAGGTGATTATCTCGATAATTCAGGCTTTTCTCTTGTGCTGTGGCGACTCCGCAGCAGAAGCGACGTTCTTGAGTGGAACCCTTTGGCTAAAGAGTTATCTGTCGCGCTTCGCGCTGCGTGGCCCTTCTGCCCACGTCTGCTCTGGTCGCCCGTGTAGAGAGGCCTACTGGTGCGTAGCAATGTTCTGTCCCTGACATCTCTTGCTGTGTTCTCGAGGGCGACCGCTCGACAGGATGTCGTTTCCATAATCTTTTTTGGCTCTGTAGTTTCCCTCCCTCCCTCCCTGGGATGAGGTGATTATCTCGATAACTCAGGCTTTTCTCTTGTACTGTGGCGACTCCACAGCAGAAGCGACGTTCTTGAGTGGAACCCTTTGGCTAAAGAGTTATCTGTCGCGCTTCGCGCACTGCGTGGCCCTTCTGCCCACGTCTGCTCTGGTCGCCCGTGTAGAGAGGCCTACTGGTGCGTAGCAATATATGTATATATATACAAATATATACATATCCGCCAGCGGGGTTCTGAAGGTGGAGCGCGGCCCAGAGTGGGGGAAATGCATGATCGCGGACGCCGGCGGGGTTCTGAAGGTGGAGTGCGGCCCGGAGTATGGGAAGTATATGATCGCGGATGAGCATCCGGAGTTCGGCGACATGTTCCGCGAGAGCGGGGCAAAGCAACTGAGGGCGGCGGCAAAGGCAATGCGAAGGGTCGCGAGACCGCGCGCCGCTAGGGGCAGCTCCGGTCGAATCGAGCTTCGCCCCATGCGCCACATGGGACTCTGCGCGTGTATTGCAAGAGCGCTAGGTTGAATGACCCAGCGCGGATTGCAGAATCAATGGGCAAATTGCGTAGCATATTGGGGCGTCGTTATGCTCAGCGAAACTCGCGCGCCAGCGGGTATCTTGGATCTGTAAGACGGGCGCGAACTCTATGCGCATCTTGCTGGCTTCTGCTCGGCAGGGGTCGCTGTTCTTGTTCACCGTCGCCACGTCCTCAATATCATCAGTCTCCGGCTGTATTCAGACCTGGCTATTGCGCTGGATGTTCAATTTTTCTGCCGGCCTTTCGCGTTCATTGCAGCGCATGTGCCCCATGCGGGCTATTCCGCGGATGATTTCCATGCAGCAATTGGCCACCTTAGCGCTGCCATGTCTGATGCTTTTCGGCTCGGTGCAAAAATCGTTCTTGGTGGAGACCTCGGTGCCCAGCTACACCATGGGGCGCGAGGGCAACGAGTTGACCAAATGCTGTCGCCCCCCGGCCTGCAGGCGACAATCGAGTCCGACGAGCTCAGCTTTGAAGACGCATGGACATTTCAAAGTTCTCGCGGGCACGAGCGCCGGACCGATTTTTATCTTCGCCAGCCCGTGCTTGGAGGTAGTCAAGGGGTAGGCGGTCGGCAGCGTCGGCCCAGGATCAGACCATAGAGCAGTTTTGGCGGAGATCAGGTTCCGGCCCGGCGACCCGCGCCCGTGGAGGCGCAAGCGAATCGTCGGAGGATGGGCCCCGTGCGACGCCGAGAGCGTGTGCCATTCGAGGCTGGATAGGAGTCGCCGCCACATGTTCTTTCTGATTCGGAATGTGTTGTTCGTGAAGTCGCCAAAGAATGCGGCAGCGGCCCCAAGAGAGCAAGGAAAGACAAGTTTTGGAACGATGCTGAAGTCCAGTAGCTGCTCGAACAACTACGCGCGCGTTCAGACCCTGAGGTTCGCAGGCTGCTCTCCAAGCAGATGCGGATGCAGGCGCGCAAAGAAATCCGGCGGTGCAGGAAAGACGGGGCTGAACATATTCTGGATTTCGAAGACTTTGGATCAGTTAGTCCGGGTGCGCTTCCTTCCCGCGCGCAACAAGCAGCAGGCTTCATCGGCAGACGCCTCGCCGCAACAATTTGCAGACTTTTCTTGCTGATAGTTTAGCTTTTG